AACACGAGTCGCGCAACACCTAGTTCAGACACACCAGCGCATGTTGGAGATGCCTTTTGATTATCACGTCTGAGGAAGCAGATGTGGTTGTTCGTTAGACGAGGTGACTGATTTGCCCAACAAGTCGAACGGTGACCCAGTATCTTCCCTAGTTCTACCGATCAGCTGACTCACCAGGATTTCCTAGTCAGGTGACAACACGAACGCTTGAAATCTGCTGGACACATCTGTTTGACTACTCGTGAGCTATTTGACAAAGATTAGCATGGATGCGAATTTCACGGGTCGTGCGACTATCCACATTCTAGAAAACTTAGTTCGGTTTTACTGAAAACAGCTCTGTTGTAGAGAGGTGGCCAGACATTAATCTAACACCACTCACAGAAATGATGAAAGGCTCATTGGAAACTTGAATTTGTCGTTGAGTCACTCATATGTATTGCCGTGTCTTATGTTATGGCAAAAAACGCAGAAGAAACTCATACCGTGTGAACTCTAACCTGCTAACAACTTTTCAGAAGGCTGCAGAATTTGATACTCCCGAGTGTATTTCGCTAATTTTACGCAGTTTGGGTCCAAGTAGAACATAAAGTTGACGGAAACTCGAGGACTGTGCCTACTTGATGAGCCCCAAGAAGGGCAAAAACCCGTCGTGGCCGGCCAAGAGTTTTCAGCAACCCTATGAGCAGTGTATTAGGCCTATACATGCGTCGTGATATCTCGATTATTGTGCCAGCTGAAGCATAAGGTGGTCTGATGCAGCACATGCAGCCGCTTGGAAACATCATGAACGAGGGATTCAGCTGGGTTCCAGGTGAGTCTCTTCCAAAACCAGATTTGTTTGTAAATGAGTGTATTGCGCCAACTGCTTTCTTTCTTTGCCTAATCACACAAGACTAGCTTTCAGTATGACAAAGTCCTTCCCACTACTCATCAAAATACTGATGTTCGACAATATAAACTTCCCATATTTATCAAAGATTCGAATCACTCCTAAGTTGGTCCCACGTGAGACTACTGATAACTTCCATCCTTACTTATTAGCTATGGGTCGCTGTGCAGCAGAAGTGGATGTATTTGGAGGCCATTTTTATGGGCGGTGATGTTGCGAAACAGCTGCCTAACGAAGCAAAGCGGTTTGAAACGATCGATAAAATGTTCCGAAAAGTGAGTGGTAGTTGTTTGACATATTTTCTTAAAATTGGTTCAGTTTTCTCTTCGTTTTCTGTAGTAACGCTATTTTTCTCAGCTTAGTTCTCGGTCTGAGCCTCCTAAGCTAGCGTCCACGTCAAAACAAACACCAAAGGTGCACAAGGTATATTAACTCTCAAAACGAAGTCAGGAACACTTGTACAGCGCTTCATATATGTAGCGTAAGCAGCAATAACTCTCTGGAAATTGTGACGAGTTCTGGATGCGGCATTGGCATTCGGCATTCGGCCAATACTGGGTCATAATTAGCTGTTGGGTCCAGACTTTCGACCAATCAGATCTCGGCTTGATGCCGGACGGGCAAGCGTCCCGAATTTCTGGCCAGTCTTGCGTGGGATGGGATTCTCGGCCGTATCAGAACCTGACTACACAAGCAAATACTACGGCATTACCACTAGTTTTCACCACTGTCGGCAGAGGAAGCCCTGTAAAGAGGAGAACGTTGAAGTGAGAATGGAAGAGCGGACTCAACGCCAGTTTAT